GAAGTACGTGCCCTTAGCGGGAACCGAACCCGGGTCTCTCCGGACCGCAGGCCGATGCTCTAACTGCTGAGCCAAACTGGCCAGGGCTGAAGTTTATTTTTATAACAGAGTATGAGATGTGGATCTAAGTCTGTATTTTTCTAGGTTGTTATCCAGTTGACTTAACATTGTTTCAATTCTCCTTATTTGAGATGTTAGGCAGTTTTTATTTTGGATTTCTTTGTTACTTAAAAAAAATTTTTTTTTTCTTTATTGATTTTAGAGAGAAAAGAAGAGAGAGGGAGAGAGAGAGATAGTAATATCTATGAGAGGGAACATTGATTGGTTGCCTCCTGCATGCCCCCCAATGGGGATTTGGCCCACAACTTGGGCATGTGCCCTGATCAGGAATTGAACCAGAGACCTCTTGGTGCATGGGGTCGTTGCTCAACTACTGAGCCACACTGGCTGGGTTCTTTGTTACTTTGATGTAACAAAGAGAATAAAAATTAAGTACAACAAAATGTCAGTGTGTTCTAAGAATAATGTTTTCAATAAAAATAAGGGAATGAATTTCATGCCTCAGATTGGATAAAAAAGAGGCTGGAAGATATTAATGATATAGTAAAGAATCCTTGTATCTTGTTTCAACTACAAAAAAAGTAGAAAGTGATTAAAAACTCTAGGGAAAATAGATGATTGTATAATTAAGGCATAAAGCATATTAAAATTTGGAATAGTTTTGAGCAGTTGATAGAATATAAGAAGAGAGAAGGTAGTTATATCCTGACCCTAGTAAAATCATTTTTCATGTAGCATGTTGGATCTATGGAGAAGGAAATGTTGTATTAGCACCCTGTTGGGTTCTGCATTAAACAATATTTATATAGATTGCAATAACATAAACAATGTTGGCTTACATTTTTATAATTAACATATAAATAAAGAATGGAAGACTTAATTATGGCTACAGAACAAAACTTAAATGTTACTAAACTTGTTGAAAAAGTCAAGTGTGGTAAACGAAGTTGAATACAATATATAGAAATATTCTTTAAAGTTGATGGAACAAGAAATAGAGGTTTAAGACTTCTATTTAAAGTTTATATAGTTATATGGTTTAGTGATTCTTATACCTCAGATATCTAGTTTAAAATAATCCCACTAGGTAAACTTTTTTCCTTACGGTTTATAGAAATTTAAAAAATTATTGATGCCCGGCTGGTGTGGCTCAGTTGGTTGAGCATCATCCCATGCACCTGGAGGTCATGGATTTGATTACCAGTCAGGCTGTATGCCTGGGTTGTAGGCTCAATCCCTAGAAGGGGGCATGTAGGAAGCAGCCAATAGATGTTTCTCTTTCTCTCTCTCCCTCCCTCTCTCTGAAATCAATAAAAAACATATTTTAACAAATTATTCTTATAAAAGAGTAAACAGAAATTACCATTGTAGCTATTGTAAAAGACTTTCTGATTGTTTTCTTACAGTGTCTTGAACTCAGTATAAATAATATCTTGTTTTGTTTAATGTCTTATTTCTTGGTAAATCTTGAAAAAGTATTACATTTTTTCTACTAAAATTTTGTCCCTACTATGATGGTTAATTTATACGTCAAAATTAACCATCATAGTAGCAGATAATAAATTCAGGATTAGAGTGAAAGTATTCTGAATTTTGTCTTTTTCTTTTCTTATTTATCTAGTGACCTCTACTTTTTTTTTTAATCCTCACCCGAGGACATTTTTCAATTTTTTGTTCAGATAGAGTGGGGGAGAGAGAGAGAGAAAGAGAGAGAGAGAGAGAGAGAGAGAGAGAGAAACGTCAACATGAAAGGGACACATTGAGTGGTTGCCAACCGCATGACCCAACTAGGGCCAGGGACAAACTGCAACCAAGGTACATGCCCTTAGCGGGAACCAAACCCAGGTCTCTGGACCGCAGGCCGAAGCTCTAACCGCTGAGCCAAACCGGCCAGGGCGACCCTAGTCTTCTTTAGCATTAACATAACAGAGTAAGTCTGGTTTAGAACCTTTCAGTGGCTTCCTGTCTCACTCATGATAAAAACCTAAATCTGCCTCATGCATTACAAAGACCTACAATGATTTGGCCCTCTTACTTTCCCCTACCCTTACTCTTCTCTGAACTCATTTTTTGCTTTTCTTCCCCTTGCTTACTCCCTTACAGCCACATTGGGCTTTCTTGCCGTTCTTTGAAGACAACAGATATCCAGATATTTTCCCACCTTAGGCTCTCTGTACTTGCTGGAATACTCTTCATTACTTCTCTTAAGTCCTTTTTTTTTTTTTAATCCTTACCTGAGGATATTTTTTCATTTATCTCCAGATAGAGCTGGAGGGAGGGAGAGAGGAGAGAGAGAGAGAAACATCGATGTGAGAGAGACACATCAACTAATTGCCTCCTGCAGGTCCCTGGGCCAGGGACGAACCACAACTGAGGTGCATGCCCTTGACCAGGATCAAACTCTGGACTTTTTGATCCGCAGGCCGACGCTCTAAATGCTGAGCCAAACCAGCCAAATTGGCCAGGGCATCTCTTAAATCTTTACTCAAAAGTTGCCCTCTCAGAAGGGACTTTCTCAGCCATCCTATGTAATTGCTTTTACTGATTTTTTATTTTTCTTTAGCACTTATCAATATCTTTTTTTTTAATTTATTTTATTTTTTTTATCCTCACCTGAGGACATTTTTCCATTTTTTGTTCAGAGTGGGAGGGAGAGAGAGGAAGAGATGAAAGGGACACATCAATTGGTAGCCACCCACACAACCCAACCAGGGCCGGGGACAAACTGCAACCGAGGTACGTGCCCTTAGCGGGAACCGAACCTGGGTCTCTGGACCACAGGCCGACGCTCTAACCGCTGAGCCAAACCGGCCAGGGCTCACTTATCAATATCTAATAGACAATATATCTTATTTATATTGCTTATTATCTACCTTTTCCAGAATTTAAGCTGGACAGATTGTTTTGGCCCAATATTGCACCCCCAATGTCTACATCAATGCTTTACTTATAATAAGCATTCAATATTTGTTGAAGAAATCAACCATACATAATTCATCCCACCAAAGTGAAATAAACTTATTAGCTTGTTCACGACAGTATGCTAAAAATTTTATTTCATAGTAAATGTAAAGAAATTATTGTATTTTTGCTTAAAATTTAACAAATATAAGCAGGATTTAAGATAATTACTTCTTGTACTTGGCTGGTTTAGGTTTAACTTGGTTAACTACTCTGGAGTAAGATGTAAAATTGTGAAAAGTCTAAAAATGAACAAAACTTAGGAATTCAGCTCCTTGGAATTTTATCCTGCTAAAATGAACTGTAGAGTTCTTGGTTCAAGCATGTTTATTTCATAATAGTTTAATAAAGCTGAAAACTGGGTAAACTTACAAAAATTAGAGTGATTTGATAAACTATGGTATAAAAACCAAAATACAATGCAGCCATTAAAAAGTTATGTTATAGGTTAATTTGTCATAGAAAGGTGTTTGTTATATACAGTGATACCTCGGTTCTCGAACATAATTCGTTCCAGGAGGACGGTCAAGAACCAAATTGTTCGAGAACCGAAGCAATGAAACCAATAGGAAATAATGGAAACTAGATTAATTCGTTCCAAGCCCCAGAAAATGCCTATTTACTGGCCTAATTTGTATATAATATGTAGAAAAACATAAGTCTCAACAAGAAATAAAAGTATACAGTATGTCTAAGGGTTAAATTCAGTGTAAAGCGTGACTCTCTCCACAAAGCGTGACTTTCTCCACAAAGCGTGACTCTCTCTCTGCACTCACACTGATGACGCAAGCAAGGCGCGCTGGGCCGATTGAACGCCATTCGGCTCAACTCGGCTCATCTCGGAAGTTCGAGTTCCAAATATTTGTTCGGATTCCAAGACAAAAGTTTCTCGAATCTCCTGGTCGAATACCGATTTGGTCGAAATCCGAGGCGTTCGAGAACCGAGGTATCACTTATTAGGCAAAAATAGTGTACAAAATAGTACATGTAACATTTAGTTTAATAAAGCTGAAAATGGGGGGGTAAACTTACAAAAATTAGAGTGATTTGCCCTGGCCGGTTTGGCTCAGTGGTTAGAGAGTCGGCCTGCGGTCCTGAGAGACCCGGGTTCGGTTCCCGCTAAGGGCATGTGCCTCGGTTGCAGTTTGTCCCCGGCCCTGGTTGGGTCGTGTGGGTGGCAACCACTCGATGTGTCCCTTTCGCATCGATGTTTCTCTCTCTCTCCCTCCCACACTCTATATGAACAAAAAATAGAAAAAATGTCCTCAGGTGAGGATAAAAAAAAATAATAATAATAGAGTGATTTGATAAACTATGGTATAAAAACTGAAATACTGTGCAGCCATTAAAAAGTTATGTTATAGATCAATTTGTCATAGAAAGGTGTTGTGTACAAAATAGTACGTATAATATGTATTGCTCTCCCCACTGGCTCTCTCTTAAAATATAAATGCATAGAAAAATATCTGTTAGAATCAAAATATTAATGATGGCAATTTCTGGTTTGTGAGATGATTTGTTTAAAACAACTTTATCTCTATGCTCTTTTCCTATCCTTAATCTATTTTTATCAAATTTTCTTCAATGAAGAGTAGTAATAAGTTACAAACTCTCCTAGATTGCTCTTGTTATCCCTCTTGCTTTATTTTTCTTCATAGTAGTTGTCACTCTCTAACTTCTGTACATTTAATTTATATTTTATTGTATGTCTACCACTACCCCCACTGGACATAAAGCTTTTTAAGGAAAGGAACTTTGTTTTGTTCACTGCTATATCCAAGGATCCTAGAAAAGTGCCTGGCATATCGCAGGTGCTCCATAAATATGTGCTGAATAAATAAATGAATGTACTGTTTTTGTTTTAAGAAAGAAAGTTATGGAGGGTAAGTGCCACATTTTATAGCATACACTTTTATTTTCAGGAGGAATTCGTAACTAATTAGGAATTTTAATGAGATTTTCTGTTTGTTTTTTTCAAGGTTTCTAAATATTCTTTACAGAAGAAAGTGAGTGAAATGGTAAGGAAATTACAAAATATTCACCCTCCCCCCAGATTAATATGTAATGTACATAGTATTTTTGTCAATATAAATGTGACATTTATAGTAAAAAAAAAGTTGTAATTGGATATTACAACTTTAGTCCTTTAAAGGACTAAATTACAATTTCAAATGTAGCTTAATCTGTTTCAAAAATTTATTTCCAGATTACATGGTGTTTATATATTATAAAATAAATTTAACATAGTTTCAATATTATTGGTAGAGGTTTTATATAAAACAACAAAGAAATAAGAACAATAATACCTCTTAGATATATATATATTTTTAGGTGCTTATGCAAACATAAAGTTATTAATTATAGCCTGAAAAATTAAAATAATATGAAGTAGCATTTGAATACAGCATTAGGGCTATGGTACCCATCCTTTATCATTCAACAAGTGTTGTGTATTCCTCTTCTATAGTATATTAAAAGTTAATATTTGCATTTTTATAGCATAACATTTTATGGAATATTTACTTTGATATTCTCTTTTTATCCCTATTGAAAAGGATTTATTTTTGTATTTTTGAGTAAGCAAAATTCTTCGATATCCACTTATATCTTCAAAGGGCTTCTTAGGTGGGTTTACCTTATTTTCAGTCTTCTTTCTTTGGAGCAGACTGTAAGGCAAATAAAATTAATTTTTGAGTAAGGTTTATATATTATATATATGAGAAGTAAGAAATGAAAGATTATTCTTTGGACATTAAATACAAAAACATAAAGTATTTTCTTCTTGAAATTGTTTTGGTGTGTTAGAAAATAAAAGAGCCATACAAAGATTGCTAAGCTTGATTGAATAAAAGATGTGAAAATTGTGTCATTGTTCAACTGGAAAGAATAAAGATAATATTGTCAAACTGTTTTAAACTATGATTTTAATTAAAAAGCTGAAAAACTAGATTCCAGTTTAGCTTTAAGTACCATGACATTTGTACTGAAAGTCATCTTCAACGCTACAGTGGTTTTACACAAAATATAGTGAAATTGAATAATGTGCCCTCTGACCTGGGAGATAAGGCTACAAGTTAAAGATCAAAAGCAACATAAAATGTATTTTATTTATTCCACTTTAAAATTTCATCAAACATTTATAATCTTTAAAAAAGCATGGAAACATGCAGTATACTTATGGTAGTTTTTGGTCACTTCTGAGGATTTTGTTAATATGAATTACAGCCTCTTAAGAACCCTCTAAAATGATATTTGAGTTATAGTTATAATATTTTTTCTGATAGTTTGAAGCCTTAAATCACTTTGCATTAAAATAATTTTATAGAGAGAGATGTACATTTATTATTTTATGCCCATTGTGTCAGAATATTGTATGTTTTTTGATGCTTGATCTTAAAAAGTAATCTTTTTCCTGAAGATTCTTACACTTTTTACATTATTTTTATATAACTCAGCTAATCTTTGTATTTAACAAGGATATTTGCTCTTGCTATTTTTAAAATAAATTATTTATTGTTGATTTTAAAGAGAGAGGAAGGGAGAGGGAAAGAGAGAGAGAGAATCATCGATGTGAGAGAAAAACACCGATCATTTGCTTCCTATGAACGCACCCAGACCAGGAATCAAATCCACATCATGAGCATGAGCCCTGACCAGGAATTGAACTGGCCACCTTTCAGTGCACAGGACAATGCTCAACCAACTGACCTACCCTGGGCAGGGCCAGACGATCTTTTCTTTAATCCTCACATGAGGACATTTTTCCATTTTTTGTTCAGATGGAGTGGGAGGGAGAGAGAGGAAGAGAGAGAGAGAGAAACATCGACGTGAAAGGGACACATTGAGGGGTTGCCACCCGCACAACCCAATCAGGGCTGGGGACAAACTGCAACCGAGGTACATGCCCTTAGCGGGAACTGAACCCGGGTCTCTCTGGACCACAGGCCGACGCTCTAACCGCTGAGCCAAACCGGCCAGGGCATGATCTTTTCTTTATTCAAAGTACCATACAGTATTAATTCAGTTAATCTCATTTTATTTAAATTAGTACATTTATATTATTTGACTCTATGGGCAAGACAGGATGTTACTGTGTCAATGCAGGACTTAGGGGAGCAATTGATAAAGTTAAGTGTGCTGAAAGAAATAATTTTAAAAATAGTATTAAGAAATCCTTAAAGAAGTTTATGATCTTCTGTTGGCGAGCCCTTAACTACTAATAAGTTTTTGTCTTACTGCATATAAGTACTGCAAATTCAGTAAGCTCGTTTTGTGTAAAGGTGGTGATATGTCTCTAAATTAACACAGTTATGAATTGAGAGATTTATCTATCTCTAAAAGTACTCTTGAACAAAGGGTCACATTGATTATTACCAATAAAAAGAATGCAACAAAACATGATAAAAAAAACAAATGAGAGAATATCCGAGTCACTGTCATTGTGATTTGGTCATTGATGAAAATCTTTTCTGTGTGTTTTTGTGAATACTGAATTAGGTCAATATGCTGTGTAACTGAGTAGCTAATAGAGCTTAATGAATGAAGTAAAAACTTGTCCAGCCATCTCTTGGTTATATTTTATTTCTTTTTTAATATATTCCTTTCCTCTAAAGAAAAGATTTATAAGAAAGACTTTTTTCCCTGTCCTCACCTGAGGCCATTTTTTGCATTTATCTTCAGATAGAGCGGGAGGGAGAGAGGGAGGAAGACAGAGAAACATCGATGTGAGAGAGACACATCAAGTGGTCACCACCTGCATGACCCAACTGGGGTGGGGGACAAACTGCAACCGAGGTATGCGCCTTTAGCGGAAACCGAACCCAGGACTCTCTGGTCCGTGGACCGATGCTTCAACCACTGAGCCAAACCAGCCAGGGCAGAGACTTATTTTTTAAATTAAATTAAAACAATGTTTCAATATTGAAGGTTTTCATATGATATAGAATTACCACATCTTTTCTTTCAGAGTAGAATATTTTTAGACTGAAGTCTTATCTGGAAATACTCTTCATGATTATAAATATTATGTATATCTGTACACACATACAAAGTAGTTGTAACTAGATTTTTTTAAGTCGTGTATATCTTATATTTGTGACTAAAAAGGTAAAAGTAGCTTAAAGATGCCATAGTTTTTAAAAAGTAAGTTTTATAACCTCATTGCTTTATTTTGAATTTATAAAGAAGAAATTGAAAGGTAAGTTGCAAAATTAGAAATGAAGACTATATGAAGTTTAGTTTTTTTTTACTTTAAATAGCTTTATTACATATAATATATAAATGATTATAAATTAATCATTTTAATTGTATTCTTATGATAAAAATAGAAAGTATAGTGATTATTACTATTGCAGAAATATTGCTTTACTTTATAGAAGTATTTTTTAAAACACTAAACTCTCCAAGTATATTTACTCATTCTTTTTTTTTCTTTCTTTTTTTTAAAATCTTTATTGTTGAATGTAAAATGTATTACAGATGTTCCACATTTTTCCCCCATTGACCCCCTCCTCCCCACTCCCGCCCCCCTACCGCCTTTTCCCACACTATTGTCTGTGTCCATTGGTTATTCATATAAGTTCTTTGGTTTATTTCTCCCCCCGCCCCAAACCCCTTTCCCTTTGAGGTTTGTCAGTCTAGCAATGAATTTGTAATTCTTAGTCCCTTCACCTTTTTCACCCATTCCCCCAACCCCCCTCCCATCTGGCAACCAACAAAATGTTCTCTGTATCTATGAGAATGTTTCTGATCTACCTGTTCATTTTGTTTGTATATTCAATTGTTGATAGATATATATTCATTGCCATTTTGTTTGTTCATACATTTTATCTTTTTCTTCAAAAAGAGCCTTCATCATTTCATATAATAACGGTTTGGTGGTGATAAACTCCTTTAACTTTTTCTTGTCTGGGAAACTCTTTTTTTTTTTATCCTCACCCGAGGATATTTTTCCATTTTTTGTTCAGGTAGAGCGGGAGGGAGAGAGAGGAACAGAGAGAGAGAGAAAAACATCAACGTGAAGGGACACATCGAGTGGCTGCCACCCGCACGACCAACCAGGGCCGGGGACAAACTGCAACCAAAGTATGCGCCCTTAGCGGGAACCGAACCCGGGTCTCTCAGGACCGCAGGCCAACTCTCTAACCGCTGAGCCAAACTGGCCAGGGCTGGGAAACTCTTTATATGGCCATCGATTCTAAATGACAGCTTTGCAGGATAGAGTAATCTTGGTTGTAGGTTCTTGCTTTTCATCACTCTGAATATTTCTTGCCACTCCCTTCTGGCCTGCAAAGTTTCTTTTGAGAAATCAGCTGACAGACTTATGGGTACTCCACTGTAGGTCTCTTTGTCTTGAACCTTTTGCATTTTGATGATGATGTGTCTTGGTGTGGGCCTCTTGGGGTTCATCTTGTTTGGGACTCTCTGTGCTTCCTGGACTTGTATGTCTGTTTCCTTCACCAAGTTAAGAAAGTTTTCTGCCATTATTGTTTCAAACAGGTTTTCGATTTCTTGTTCTCGCTCTTCTCCTTCTGGCACCCCCAAGATGCGAATGTTGGCACACTTGAAGTTGTCCCAGAGGCTCCTTACACTATCCTCATTTTTTTGGATTCTTTTTTCTTTTTGCTGTTCTGATTGGGCGTTTTTTGCTTCCTTATATTCCAAATCAATGGTTTGCTTCTTGGATTTACGTACTCTATTATTGAAGCTGTGTAAATTATTCTTTATTTCAGTTAATGCCTCCTTCAATTCTGACTGGACCTTTTTATGCTCTTGAGGCCCTCACTAAGTTCACTGAGGTTCTCACTGAGTTCATTGAGTATCCTTATAAGCAGTATTTTGAACTCAGAATCTGTTAGGTTGCTTATCTCCATTTCGCTTAGTTCTTTTCTTGGGGTTTTGTTCTGTTCTTTCATTTGGGACCTGTTTCTTTGTATCCTCATTTTGGCTGCCTCCCTGTGTTTGTTTCTGTGTATTACTTAACAAGCGGTATGGGGCTAGCTGAGACCAGATGCTGCTC